AGAGGAGACTCCATCTACAGCAGCAGTAGTATCTACAGCAGTGAGCAGAATTGTGCGTGCATAGAAGAGGCTGACTACTGCTGTGACCTACATCTAGCGTACAAGGGGCTCCATCGCAAAGCATCACCAGAGGAGGCTGGCTCTAGTCTAGTGTTTCCTCTTGTGCTGCAGCTGGTGCTGCTGTTGTACGCACAGAAACTATGTGTGTTAAGCCCTCGCTGTGTGTACCATGGCACTGCTGTGATGGACAGAAGCTGTGCGTGTGAATCTCTCGCTGTGTGTACCATGGCACTGCTGCGTGACGGTACATGTAGGTACTCTGCTCTACATATTGGTCGTGCAATTTTGTGGCAGCAGCAGCTACACCGCACATGGGACGGAGCCCCCGCGTACCCGTCAGCACAAATTCTTCAATCAGGGGGGGAAGGGGGGAGCAACACCTACGGACATATCAAATACAGTACTGGTCCCGCTATAGTGCCGATTGAATAGTGCCGATGCCCGGTATAGTGCCGGTAAAATCTCTGGACACAGAAAGCGCCCTCAACAGTGCCGATTGGGCACCACGGCGCCCCGCAATAGTGCCGGATCACACACACATGCCAGCTGACACACACACACACACCCGTCTAGATCTACCCTCCTTACTGCTGCTTTTTCAACGAATGGTGGTCTTGGCAAAGGCACCAATCGACTCATCGTTGCTATCGCCAACCACTTGGCGCACGAAGTTTTTTGCCGGGGGAGTTTTGAAGACGAAAGAGTCTTAGTTCGCCTGAAAGCTTTTCATACGAAGAGGATTCGGAGACGGTTTACCTTCGAGCTAGCTCGTTTTCTGTCGATGCGAACTCGCGATGTGTTCAAACGTCATGGGCTAGTGATCGACCAACTTCCACCAGGGCCAATCGGTTGGGATCTCTGCGACAACGATAGTAGTGAGGGTAATTCTTTTGGGAGTGACGAAGACGAAGGAAAGGGAAAGGGAAGAAAAAAGGACGAAGACGACGATGGAGTAGGAAAACATGGAGGAGTGGAAGAGAGCAAAGGGTTTGAGCCAGATTACCTTCCCCACCACAAGAAACGTAGGGCTAGGGAAGAAATGCCCAGAGATTCTTCTTGTCAAAATGAGGATCAGAATGATGGTAGTGAAAACAGGGAGGATACTGGTGAAAGTACTCCGAAACGAACTCGAGTACTAGGTAATAGCCTTGGTAGACGGGTGCAGATTTCTTCTGTTGCTGCTGTTNGTTTTGAAGACGAAAGAGTCTTAGTTCGCCTGAAAGCTTTTCATACGAAGAGGATTCGGAGACGGTTTACCTTCGAGCTAGCTCGTTTTCTGTCGATGCGAACTCGCGATGTGTTCAAACGTCATGGGCTAGTGATCGACCAACTTCCACCAGGGCCAATCGGTTGGGATCTCTGCGACAACGATAGTAGTGAGGGTAATTCTTTTGGGAGTGACGAAGACGAAGGAAAGGGAAAGGGAAGAAAAAAGGACGAAGACGACGATGGAGTAGGAAAACATGGAGGAGTGGAAGAGAGCAAAGGGTTTGAGCCAGATTACCTTCCCCACCACAAGAAACGTAGGGCTAGGGAAGAAATGCCCAGAGATTCTTCTTGTCAAAATGAGGATCAGAATGATGGTAGTGAAAACAGGGAGGATACTGGTGAAAGTACTCCGAAACGAACTCGAGTACTAGGTAATAGCCTTGGTAGACGGGTGCAGATTTCTTCTGTTGCTGCTGTTTCTGTTTTTGCTCCGAAGGATAGTTTAGCCTCCCCCATGCTGCCCCCTCACGGGGTCCCAGTTCATGGTAGATAGAAGTGTTTGTGTTTTCAACCGCACTAAGACTGACGTCTTTTCATTGGTCAGCCGGTTAGCGCGGTCGATGCTAATAATAAAAAAACCACACACACACACAAGCATCAAGCGCATTGCGCATTTTTCGAATTTTGGCCCCCTTCCAGGGACCTTGATTTTTACCCGCTGGCACTGACGTCTTGTAATTGGTCAGCCGGTTAGCGCGGTCGATGCTAATAACAAAAACACACACAAGACAGCGGACACACGCAACACAGAGGGTACGCGTGCTGCTGCAGACCCGAAGAGTACTACGCAGAGGCGCACCATGCCTTGTGCGGAAGGTGAACTGTGTCTTCAACAAGACAGGACGCCGCAACCCCCTCATGGCCACCCCTGCAAGGGAGGATGTGGCGGGCGGCTCCACGGCAATTGCGGCAGCGTGTTTAAGGACAACGAGCAGCACCGCATTTGCAGCACGTGTGTCGCCAGGACTAGCAAGCGCAAAGCGACACCAGCTAAGGGTGCTGGGGCGGGACCATCTAGACTAAACGCCACAAACAGACGAGCGGGGGAAGCAAGAAGGGAACGGGTTCTCGTGCGCGGCTGGACAACAACACGAAGCTCGAGATTCTGAAGATGCTGGATCAGAAGGTGTCTCACGCACAGATTGCAGACCACTTCGAGTGCTCGCTTCTGTTTATTGGGACCGTGAAGGCTGGCCGGCAGAAGGTGAAGACAGCAACTGCTGCAGGCTGCGGCAGCCAGAAAACTGCACGCAAAGGAGGTTTTCCGGAGGTGCGCTACATGCAATGCTGCGACGACGAGGAGGACGAACAGGACCAGGGCGGCGGCGGTGAGAACACGGGGCGCGAGCGCCGTGCCCCACGTGCGCCACCGGGTTATGAAGAACTGTCGTCTCACTTCGGCGCCCTGGAAGTGGCAGCAGAGGACAGTGGCAACGGAGACGCGGCGTTCTACCTAACGAAAGCGAAGATGTCGATGATCGCAGCGCATTCCGCTACAGTAGGCGGGTGCTCCAGACAGATATTAAAGGATTTGTCGCCACGTAGAGTTCATGGTTGTTTCTTTTTCTTGCGGTTCGCTTCCTGTCGTGTACTTGTAGTTTTTTTTTTTTTTTCTTGCAACATCGAAGCGGGTACGCCAGGCAGACACTCCAGTGTGGCGACGTAGTTTGGGGGGGAGATACAACTGAAGTGCAGTAGTATTGATTTTTGTGTTCTTCAGTGCGCTTCCTGTCGTGTTTCTTTTTCCGTTTTGTCTATTGTATCTTGCAACATCGAAGGAGGGGCTCGAGGGCTGAGATATAGCTACGTCCACTCTGTAAGAACGGGAGCTTTACCAGCATCTTGCCGTCAACAGCAGTTTCGACAGTTCAGGGTGTGCAGTACAGTTCATGTGCTGAGGCAGGCAGAAAATAACGGTGCAACATGCAAGTAAATATTTTTTACAACTCGCCCTCTGTGTTTGCGACAGGGGGGAACCATACTTGTCGCGAGAAAGGATGCCTACGCCCACGATAATAGGTCGACCTTCACTAAGTTTGATCAATTTCGTACTCTGTTAGCCCCGCAACGCATGAGCGCCACAGCATGAAATCAAACATCTCCTCAATAGTGCCGAATCGGCACTATTAAGGCACTATTCTGATTAGTGCCGGTGCCCTCAATAGTGCCGATATCATATCTGGGCACATACCGGCACTATAGCGGGCCCAGTACTGTATGTCGCTTCTTTGTGAGCTGGGCTGCGGGAGGTGCGTCCCCGGAAACCAAAACGCCTGTACAACACATCAGCAGCAGCAGAAAACACAGCTGGTGGTGCACACCTTCGGACGCACAGAAGCTGTGTGTGTTGACCTCTCGCTGTGTGTACCATGGCACTGCTGTGATAGACAGAAGCTGTGCGTGTGAATCTCTCGCTGTGTGTACCATGGCATTGCTGCGTGACGGTACATGTAGGTACTCTGCTCTTCATGTTGGACGTACAATTTTGTAGCAGCAGCAGCTACACCGCACATGGGACGGAGCCCCCGCGTACCCGTCAGCACAAATTCTTCAATCAGGGGGGGCGGGGGCGGCAACACCTACGGACATATATGTCGCTTCTTTGTGAGCTGGACTGCGGGAGGTGCGTCCCCGGAAACCAAAACGCTTGTACAACACATCAGCAGCAGCAGACAACAAATAATTAGAGCTGACACAACGTTTGTTAGCAAACCATAATCGACTTCGTAAGTCGCCAAGGAAGGGATTGCTGTACCCTTCTCGCGATAAAAATACCTCAGGCAGGAACCGCGGGAGGGGGTCCAGCCCCCCCCTCCTATGTGACCCCGGTTGGGTCGTCTAGCTGGCAGAAGTGGAGGATAGGGGCCAGAGGGGAAGACGACAGAGTCCAATGATGGGAGAAAAAATAAAATAAATGATAGCAGCAGCAATATACATACACAACAGCCGCCGGGCCGCTGCCAGGCTACTCGGCTTCAGGCTATTACTGCTGTAGCACAGACGGTTGCTTTACTGCCATGAGCTAGCACGGAATGGACTGCCAGCCACCAAGCAGTGTAGTCTAGGGTGTGTAGCGGCTGTGTGATGGCTGTGTGCTTCGGTTAGGAACCACAGAGCAGCGTGGATCTACCCTGTCCTCCAAGCGTGTACATGGGACAGGTACGGCACACATCATAGACGCGCACATGTAGCATATGGCATCGTTCTCACAGCTCTTACTCCCTGCACGTTCCTCTGTCTGTCTCTATTTCTGTCGGAATTCACGCTGTGTCTCTCGATTCTCGACCCGGACTTGCTCGACTGAATCAAACTGCTGCCGGGGCACGCCACAACTGCATACCCCGGACTTGAAAAATCTTCAAGTAATGGGGGGGAGGGGGGTGTACTCATAGTCGTGCATACCGTAGTCGTTAGACCATTGACCTCGCATCCCTACAAAGCCGGGACGGAGNAACAGCCAACATGATAGCGTAGCAGCTTACAGCAGTAGCACCACCTACCTGTCCAAATGTCAACCCTTTCCTCTAATCGTGTGCATGGATAGGTATAACCACACATCATAGATAGGTGCACACATAACCTAGCACCGGCGACAGCTACGGTTGACCTAGGGGAGTTAAGTAAGTTGCGCACGCCACTCTGTGGGATGAAAGACAGACGTACAATGCCCCAGGCGAGTGGACGGGTGTGTGGCCTGGAGCTCTTCTTTCTGTACAACGGTTCGGGTGGGGCAAGGCGTATCGAGGAGGAGTATGCACTTGCTGAGCGTTCGAACGATTCAACATCC